TTTTCTGGCTTTCTAAAAATGTTTTTGTACTTTTTTTTCTGGTAGTAGGACCTCTTGGGAGTCCGCACGGGTAGGTACCATCACCCCGCCTATTTCTGCCGTGAAGCAGTAATGCGTTTCGGCTTGAAGGGTGAGACAGCCGTTGTAACTATACTGAGACCTTAGAACTTACATCTGAAGGTGGGTGGCGCATTTACGTTGTAAATGTCTATGGGCTCCAGTAACCACTTAACACCAGGTGGGCTGTGAGCTCATCTACTTACTATATTTCTTTACATTCACTTTATACGTTTCTTTTATGAATTTTATAGTCATTTTATCTAAAACATACGTATGTGTTTAACGTGAATTTATCTGCTAGCTCATTATTAAGCCTATAATTTTTTTGAAACTTCGGTTACTGTTTTGTAATAGAAAGTTTGATGTACCTTTTGGTAAGCACGGCTTTGATTTTGAGTCTTTTGCTGATTACTTTGAATACAAAAAACACACAATTTCGCTTAAATTTTGGGTCGCTCAACAGACTAATTTCAAAAGGCAAACATCAAAGGTCCTTTTACAAGACTGAAAAAAAGAAAGGAAAATCAGTGAGTTTCTATTGTACCAATAAAATCATGACTTACAAGATGAATTTCACAAAAATAACTTCAAATTTAGAGTTACGCTTTTATTTGGTATTCGTCTGTTGTCATTATGTCTTCCTTTGACATTTGAATCAAATTTACAAGATTCAATTTTATCTCATACAAGTCGTAAACTTACAATAAATAGGCATCAATAAATATTCGAGTTCAACGTTTTATTATTAAAAATGAAACACCAACTTGGAGTCGAGCAGATTTATACGTACGAATCGCATTTTATATTGAAATTAATAATTGGAAATTTCCGGAAACCCACTGGAAAGAGTTTCCAGAATGTTCCGCTGCTGCGAATCATATCGCACCGACACTTTTAACTTGAATCGCTGCGTCTGTTGTTAATTATTAATTAATTGGAGCCACGTATTGCAAGCTCTTGTATACAGCGTGTGTTATATTGCTGTTTTTTTGTTCGTCCTTAGTGTGGTGTGATTTAAGCGCTTGAATAAATAATTTACTCATGTGGTTTAAGCATAGTGCGTCACACAAACTATTTAAGCCCTATTGTTGTTTGTATGCTATCGTTAAAAATATGAAAATGAAGTGTCAGCTCCATCAACTGAACTAAATATTCCACTAAAATAATCTATACTAATATAAAAAACTACAGTGGTTTTTACGGATGTTCCGTTATAACTACTGAACCATGCATCCGATTGACTTGAAACTTGGTATCCATGTAGAAAATACTTGTACTTAAGCGATAGGCTAATATTTATATAAGTGTTAGACTCCCTACACCAGTTACGGGGGCGTTAATGATGAGAATCTTTGTGGGGGTGAGAAATAATAATGTAAATTTTAAATGCCCAGCGAAGCGGACGGGTACAGCTAGTATACTAATATTTTTATTGCCCGTGTAGGCAGATGAGCATTTGGCCCACCTGATGGTGAGTGGTTACCGTCGCTCATGGATGTCAGCAATGACAGGGACAAAGTCAAGCCACTGCCTACGGTTTAATGCTCTCCATAAGCCTCGTTTGAAGAAGGACATGTCATAGCGCTCGAGAAACACCGTGGAGGGGAGCTCATTCTAAAGTCGAATGGTACGTAAAAAATATCTCTGGAAACGCACTGTGGATCGCTCAACTCAGTGGCTCCATGTAGTATGGATGAACTCTGCTCCGGTGGCGGGCGGTACTATAGTAAAAACGAGATTATGATATCATCTCAAACAATTTCTCAGAGCACTAAAAATTTTCGGATTTTTCTATGGCTGTAGAGTATTTTTAATTTAATTCTAAATCTCAATAATTAAATGTTATACGAGGCACAATATCAATATCTTGATAAATTAAAGAAATCTTTTATGCCTTTCGTAGTCAATAAAAACTCAGTTACAGACATTAGCGCTTTCAACACGGCCGATGCACTTTTTTCATAAGAAACTATATTAGTATTTCTTTAATGTACTCAAGGTTACATAGAAACTATATATAAAAATAGAATAAAAAACTGTTTCCTAAGTATTTATGGGGCTGGATGACCGATGTGCGTGATTTGTTCCCGGTTAGTTATGTATTGTTATTAGTTATTATAATAAAATGCTATTACGCTCTTCAGTTTATTTTACTCATTGTAAAACAAACAGACAATTCTATTACCGAACTTCAATTAGCCGTATTGTTGTCTAAAGCGCGAAGGCAATTCTGTTTTGGAAATAATAGCAAGCTTGTCGCGAGTAGGTAGGAGTATTTGCCTTAGCAGAAATTAATGAGCGCGAGCACAACTGTAATGAGACGTTACTGTATCTATTCCAGTTAATTGTGTATGCAAAACGATTAACATGTAGGTTAGGCATTTAATCATCCCTTATAATTACAATGGAAGCAATCGATTCTTTTCATTTAGCTAAGACAGTCGAATTCCACGATCATCGGTTTCCCAATTAGAAGCAAATTTTTGTAACGAAACTTCAAAGTGTTTTGTTATAATCTGAAAAGTATTTGAATACTTAAGAATTATACGAAAAGGTATTAGTTGATAAAGTGATTTTGGGGGTATTTTTGTAACGATTACGTAGATTGTACACAAAAACATTTTTATGGGAAACTAAATATACAACTATAATATAGACTACCTATAGACACATTGCGAGTCACGTTAGAGATACAAGAACTACGTCAATTAAAAACCAAAACCAAACTGTTAACTTCTAAAAGGCTCTGCGGAATCCAAAGCACATTTAAAATGCTGAACAGAATGTTTAATTCACTATTTAATATTTAAACTCATCGATTTTCAATTCACGTAACTGCCGCCGTTTATAAAGGAGTAATTCTTGATAATTCAGGTTACTTTATTACAGGTTTTTAAAGCAAGCTAACATAATCGTTGCTGATATGAGATCTTAATTTTAATTTTTTCAATTTCAATTAATCCTATTATTATTATTATTATAATTCAATTAATTTTATATTATATTATATTTGCACACTTTATATTCAAGTAAGAACATGCAGGAATTTTTAATTTAATTATACCTTTATTTATGTACCATGTCTCTGGCAAATACATAATTTGTATTGTATTGTATTGTATTAGATAGGGATGCAATTTGTGGAGTTGTGTGTTTTTTTTTTGTTTCGACACTTGCGCATTTTCGCAGATGCTTTTAAAACGGCTAATAAGCCACTATAATTACACATTTAAAAAAGAAGAAACACAAAATACACAGTTCGTAATTTTTTTCGTTGTATCCAGTGTTACTAGCAATATCCTAGTAAACACTATCTCAAAATGTTGCTAAATCATAAACAAGGGTACCATAATTCAACGAACAACGGATGTGACAGTTGAACCAAAAACGGATACCGCAATTCAACCAGTTTCTGTCATGAAGCAGTCATGCGTTTCGACTTAAAGGATAGGATAGGCTAGGTGGAAGTCCAATTATGACTAACATTATGTCTCAACTGTGTTCTATTTATGTTATGATGCTCCAACAAACCTAACAGCAGATCTGTCGTGATCTAAAATGGTGCATTCATAATTGGAACACGCACTGGAATAAATCGTGAATAGGGGGCTAGGAGCGTTAGCATGTGATATTTGAAGTCGAAGTTGTTTCAATAAAGACTGACTGTCTGAAGGCTAAATCAGCCGTTGTAACTATACTGAGATCTTAGAACTTATATCTCAAGGTGGGTGGCGCATTTACGTTGTAGATGTCTATGGGCTCCAGAAACCACTTAACACCTGGGCTGTGAGGTTGTCCACCAATTTAAGCAATAAAAAAAATGAAGGGAGTTCTTATACTTAGCGATAGTGCCAGCGAAGTCAGGATTCATATACCTTTTTATTAGATTAAAAGCTCACTAAGATTCTTGGAATCAGAACATTCTATCGTGTAATCAATCCCGGAAAAATGGAGATCCGTTATAAGAACAAAAACAAGCATACACCAAATTCTGAATTTATCAACGATACGAACTCTGACTACAAATGAAGCCGGGACTAAGTTGTACTGTTATCAAACGATCAATACTTGGTAAGCCGTCGTGAGTAAGTACGGAGTCGCCGAGCGGATCTTCATTATCTTCGTATAGGTGCAAATAAATAACGTACATCCGGCATTCCGCTGATCTCGGCCCTTTAACTAAGGTGCGAGAAGTCTTTTACGAAAGTGCTTACACGTTTGCCGTATTTGCATGAAATACCCAAGATATTTGTCTAATACGGGAGCCCTTCTGTAACGTACATCAGTCCCGACATGATAATAAAGGTACCTGAACCCTTCCTCGGCTTCCAGACGGTTTATTCAATGAACCTTCGATATATCTTTGGAGTTGTGTGTCTGTAACCCTTTTTTTGTCGCTGCGTAAATTTTTGAGTAATACGGAAGGGATGCGCGGTTTGATTAGCAGGTTTCTTTTTGTTTGTTTAATATTATGTTTTGTTGAGTTCGTTATTTTTTTTTGTTAGTTTTGAATGAATTCACTTTTGTAACTTAAAAAGTTTATTTGTCACAGTACTGAGTTCATTTAAAATTTTGAATTTAATCAATTTGATGAATTAATTTACTGTCCATAAATTTATTGCTGAAAAATGCTGAAAATGAACCACAAATCCACGACATTTCCGTTGTTGTGTAGTAATAACGGAGTCTAATGAGCAAGAACCTTGATGTCACCTTAACTCATGTGAGAGAGAACTCATCTCTTTCCGCACCAATACGCGACCGTCAAATCGGGAACCTATAGAAGGTCTTTTCCCAGTTCTGGTCCTTGTGGGAAATGTTTCCAATGGTTCAGAATTCATGTATTTAAATTGATTTATTTTATTATATGTTCAAATACATTGTTTTTTTTTCAATTAAGATTCCACACATGCTATAAATAATATTGTTTAATATAACAGTTGTCTAAAGAAATCATTTAGAGCGTACATTATTTCATAGGCATGCAGCGACGAGGATTGATTTGCGAAATAAATGAGTGTGTAAAATGTTGTTGAATACGTTGTGATAATAAAGTTTTAATAATTAATAACTGTTGACGAGTGATGTTGTGAAAGCGATGGAGAAGCTCCGGATGCCGTCTTCGTGGCGGATTTGGACTCTCCTACTGTTCTGCGTTTCAAAAGAAGGTAACTTTCATCTATCCATATATTAATACGTGAAGCAAAAACTTTGTATCCCTTTTTACGAAAATTGCGCGGACGGAGGAGCATGAAATTTTCCACACTTATAGAGAATATAGAGAAGAAGTGCACAATGCTAATATTTTTTGAAAATAATGCATAAAAGATACATTAAATCAATAAAGAAACATTACACACACTACATACCATGTATTTGAGCACACACGCATGCATACTATTTATTGTCAAACATTTGTTCTTGACGTCTGTTGTCAAATTGAGAATAGATTAAATATTGTTTGTCTTTGTTAATATTTTTTTATAGTGTAGTCTTGGCGAAATTTGTAATTATAGAAGTATAAAATAGAATCATAATAGTGTACAAACTATTAATTCCAATGAATTATAGTCGAATTTCGACTACTGCGGGACCTCTAGTTTTAGTTAATTGCTCTACCCATTTGACAGTTTTAAAGTTTAAGTCAAACGTTCCAAATCGAATATCGATGTGGTTCATGATAGAATATTTTTGTGGCGCAGTCACCGAAAACACACGAGACACGATTGACTTCCACGGCGAAGGAATAACATCGTTTAATAGGACCTCTTGTGAGTCCGCACGGGTAGGAACTACCACCAAAAAAAGATACCGACTTTCTACCACTAATGACTACTTCCCAGAATTCGTTCATACTGTTCTCACTCTAATACTTAGTCTAACTATTCTAAAATTATGTTTCAATTGTATTGAATTAGCGTTTATTAACTTTCAAAAATCATTCTATTGTACGACTGTATCGCGGCGTAATTAGTCCAAAAGGTGATTTAAGCCCGTGCGACCTAACAGCAAGCCTTACAGTGGCTGTAGACAAGAATGTGATTAGATTAGAAGATACTGAAGAAAGCTAGCTAGTGGTGTAAAGTGAATGAAGTATTTTAATAGTATAAAAATATTTTTAGTTGGTAAAAATCTTTTATAGTTCTCAACTGATTTGATGCTGATAGTAAGGCGCCATACTGTTGTTAAGGGATCTTTTGAGATCGTATCATCACCTCATCTATTTCTGCCGTCAAGCAGTAAGATGTCCCGCTGTAAAGGGTAGGACAGCCAATATGCTACAGAACTGAGACTTAAAACTCATGTCTCAACCGCATTTATGTTCCTGTCGACTATAGGCTCCGATAACCTCATAATACCAGGTGGTCCGTGACCTTCTAAAACTTAAAGCAAATTCATAAATTTTGGAAGCTCAAAAAAGCTTTAAACTAACATCATATTTTCTACTTCTGCGTCATTTCTTCTACATTTTCGTATACATCTATTGCTTAGTCACAGTTGATTGTTCTAGTAATATTTAAAAATGATTTTAATCCTCTAGAATCACACACATGACTTCACCTTAAAACCAAATCACAAAAAGGAATATCATTTCCGAGAATCACTGAATTAAGATCCTCAAGCGTTAAAAGATTTCATTCGTCCATAATTTTGGAGATTCAAGCTTAAGACTTCCACAACAATTCAGAAACGCCAATTCTAACCCTTTCTGATTCCGTAGTAAGATAAAACTATGTTCCGTCCGCTGCAAATCTTGTTTTCACGCTCTATTTCGTACCGTGATCTCTAATCTGGGGACGTTAAGGCCTCGCATGCTCTAAATAGTACTTAGGCTCAAGTAAAATTCATTTGGACAGCACGATCCTTGTTTGATTTACTTCCAAATGGGATTAGATTCCAAAAATAATATTTTTAATTTACACTTAAAAAAAATATTGATATTTTACTTACAAAAATTGTATTTGTAAAATAAGATCAAAAATGTTATGAAGATTCATGATTTTTTGTAAACTCAGTAAATTAAATTCAGTAAATTCAGTAAAAACGGCCGTTTGGTGTAGTGGTAAGTGACATGGTCACTACACAAGGGGGTCGCGGGTTCGAATCCCGCCAAGGAATATATTTGTATGATAAATATAAAATGTATTTGCCAGGGATATGGATGTATATTAAATATATGTATGTGTATAAAAAAAATCTTATATTTATTTACGTTATCTGGTACCTGTAACATAAGTTCTTTACGAACTTAGCACGGTATCCGTTAACGTGGCGTGATCGTTAGTAAATATATATTTATTTATTTACTCTTTACAAGAATATGTGTTCTTAGTTGATTTAGTTTCATACAAACCATTATAACCTTGTTTTTTAGTTCGATGGCCAATTGAAACCTTCTTGGTTAAATAAATTTAGTATTTAAGATAAGAGCGTTTTTGTTTTTGCTCTGTATGAGGATGTGTCGAACGCCTACAAATCCAAGAGAAAGTCGTACCTTTTACATTACGTCGGAAAGTACTACAAAAAATCTTTTGTCAACTCAGTTCCTGTTTCATTTCCTGCCATATCAGGAAAATAACAGTGTAACATCTCTTGAAACTGATCAAACGCAGCCTTTATCTCGTGTGTCGGCGACCTCAAACGCAAGCAATATATAGTCCGTGTCAAATGCAGCGGTCGCCGGACCAAGAGGCGTATCGCGCGACCCCAATCGAAACGTTCGACGGAAAAAAAAAACGATCGTTTCGAGGTACAGAACCACCCATAAAGTTTAGAATTGCTCAGACGATACCAGCCCAATCAATACTGTACGGGAAACTAGTTGTCCTGTAACGCGGCAAACGAAAAACCGCTTTAAAGGTCTGACATTTAGTATGGATGAGAATGGGTGTTTCTAAATTGAATGTGAACGGAAAAAAAAACTGCATGTTATTTTTGAGTAAAATAATAGTATTTTGTAGTGATTTTGATACTAGATATACATGAGATAAAGCAATATGAAATGAAGAAATGGTTTGAACACTTAGGTATCCTCATTATGTCGTCAAGGATTTTTGTAACACAGTGCTCTTTTAGAATAATAGATCTAAAATCAGCAAGGCACGATGGTGATTAGGAATAGAGGTTAGTAAGAATTATACAATGAAAATTCAGGGTGATAAGTCAGAGAGCTGGGATGGGATACTGTAAGCTCTATAACTGATCTAATATCTTCTAATTATAATCTAATAAAGTATGGTACCGTAAAAAGCGACAAAGAGATTTTTTGGAGAATGTGCAAAAATTTTCTCTGACTGCTATACTGACATACTGCAACTACCAACCGGCATTTACTGGTAGGGTGTAATGTAAAGTGATGCGGGTAGGGAAGACTCCTACCTATTTAAGCAGCAAAGCAGTGATGTGTCCGGTCTCATGGATGGGACATCTGGAATACAATACTGTCCCAACTTAGTGTCTTAAGTGAACTATGGCTGATTTACTGATGGTAGGACGTATTTATTGTTGTAGGATATCTTGTAAGTTCACAAGGGTAGGTACCACAGCCCTGCCTATTTCTGCCATGATGCAGTAATGGGTTTGGGTTTGTAGGATGTGGCAGTCATTGTACTGTAAGAATTGAGACTTTAGAAGTCATGTTTCAAGGCGGGTGACGACATTTACGTTGTAGATGTCAAGTTTCGTGCAATTTTCAGTGCTTAGTACAAAACACATGCGCCAGGCGTCTTTCACGCACCGGTAACTTTTCTGACGGAAACGTTGTAGGATGTGCAACCGAGCTAATTTTCCTGCTCGTGAGTCTGCCTACGTCAGTTTCGTAACAAATGTAAAAATATGAATTTTCGTGTGATCTTATCTTATCTTACACCTTTAAGCGAGCAATTCTTGTGTTCTAACGGCTCCAACGATTTTCATATAATTTAGTATACATGGGATTTCGGGGGCGATCAATCGATTTAGCTACGATTTATATTCGAAAAATTTTGTTATATTCGTGTTTTCAATAATCAACTTTATCGATAACCAACTTTATGACTCTTCCCGACATCTATTGGCGAATAATAATACTATTTTTCTTAATTGAAGGCAACTAACTGCTATAAAGACAAAAAAAAAGATGGCGTTATCAAAAAAAAAACGAGCAAAGTTCGGTCATCATCTAGTGTACAGTTAAAAATGACATTGCCGTAATAATGTATTTATAGCCAACAGCAAAAAAGGCAGCATTAGTAAAGTTATACAAAACCAAGAAGAAAATAATGAAAAAAATAAAAATAAAAAATCGTAAAGGTACATACAACAATGTTACGACTCTGACTACTGTGTGAGTAAAATTTGTAATGTAATTTTGAAACTTTATTAGATTGTAATAAGAATAAATTTAGAGCACTCGCTATATTTTTCCAAGATCCATCTTTTAGGTTACGCGAATTGATTATTCATATATGCTTATTAAAGCCCGCGGGAATAACAATATTTATTCTGTTTTACGAGAGTCTGCTTTGGAAGCGTGAATATTCTGTGAGCTGGAAATTATCTATTTTAGGTTTTGCATCGGAAATCGTTTGATATTTTAGGATTTTTCAGAGCTTCTTCTTGCTTTCAAAGGGAGATTGGCACATGCCCACTATGAGTGAGCGGTCATCGTTTTGAAGACTTTTTGAAGCACAACTATGGTCTCATTTACTAATATATCAAATAAAATAAAATGTATTGTAAAAATGGACAAACAAGCTGGCGACCCATATGGTACTAAATGGTTACTAGAACATAGATGTAACAACGCGCATGCCATCACCAACATTGAAACATGGGTCTCATTGGTCAATACCAAGACTTCACCGGACCAAGACTTCACGACAGAAATACTAAAAAATACCTTTATCGCAATTAGTACTTACCCTACTTTGCCGATCCAAGACGTGCCATTTGCAGAATAATTTGGTGTAGGACAGATTGTAAAATTCTGGTATGAATTACATTTTAAAATCATTTTGTCCCTGTCTAGTTGTGGAAAAGTCTATAAAAAAAAACCACATGTGGCACTCGGGGACTGCCGCGGTAAAGCTATTGCATATCATTTTTTATCAACTTAAGCAATTATAATTAGACAATAATAATTTAATTTTAAAACAATAATAAAATAAGACCATGCTATATTTATAAA